GAAGCAACACTAGCCAGTCGAGACGCTACAATGGCACCCTGCCCCCCCACCCCCCAGCCCTGCATAAAAGCGACGCAGCAGTTACCTGTCCCTCGCACCACAGCTGCTGCCGCCGCCGCCGCCGCCATCGGTCCATAAGCAGTGAGGGGAATGGCTGCAAGAGAAGCAGGCAGAGTCAGGGACTGGCTTGGCGGGGAGCCCAGTGATGCCCAGACAATGCCCACCGCAGACACGCATCTGCGTGAGCGGTTATGCTGCGCCACAAAGAAACTAACCAAGTTTGTGGTGGGCCGGCCACTGGGCCCAGCACGTAATGCAAAAGCGGCCCGAATGAATGAGCAAGGCGAGTGCGCCACGCAGGCCCTTGACCACCGCCTCCCTTTTCCCAATGGGCAGCGCAGAGCCACGCTCTGGTTTCCCATTAAGCCATTAGCCTGAAACAGTGTGTGCGAGAGGGAGAGGATTGTGACGTGAAAGGGGGCGAAGAACAGGCCCACCTGCACGTGCCTGGGGTCCCAGCACCAAGCCAGCAGTCTGCGCAAACCCCAAGCCAGAAGGGCTGTGCAAAGCCCTGGACAAGTCCGGCTGGTCTGCGCTGGCAGCACGCTTTGCTTATGCTGGCTGCAGCCAGCCTGCTTTAGTTGCCCTGGCCATTCCTGAACCTCCAGCACTGGCCCTGGAATTGGCCCCTGGCAAGGTAAGGAGGCAGGGTGGTATCACTTTAACCCCAGGGGTTCCTGCCCACTCTCTGTTTTAGAAAGGCTGTTTTCCTTCTTACGGTGGGAATGAAAGCCAGGCATGAGATGCGGGGGGAGTTGAGGGGGAGAGACGTTCATATCCATCCTATCCACATTCTGGACTGCAGCGAGCAGACACATGTGGCGGCCAAACCTGGCTCGCCAAATCACTTTGAAGATACAGCATAAATTCATCAAGCATGCCCACGAGTAAAGGAGATCTTTGGCAACCTGAAGCCAGGAGCCACTCATACCTTTCCACTTCATTTGAGGTTGCAAAGTCCCACCCAAATCTCTGAACAAATGTAACATTTCTCCAAAGAAGCTCTCCGCCAGCCAACGGGCTCCACTGAGCTCCCTCTGCCCACCCATTCTTGCTTGTGGCGTCCACACGGATGGTTTCTTAAGCGAATGATCTCCTGAGAGGGGTACGGGAGGAGCCAGTTTTGTTGGCAAAACCACACTGAGCCGAGCCATGACCTGATACGTAGACTTTTGGGACGGGAACCTGCAGGACCCGTTCATGCCCATCCTGCACCATCTTCAGAGAAAGAAGGAAGGCCCAACAGAGGCTTGGGAACAAGATTTTAATCCATCTCTCTGTGGGAGATCCAAGGACTTACACCACAGCAGAGACGGTCTAAGAAAGGCTGTCCTCTCCCCCATCCCACGCCCTTGCAGTTCAGAGCTCAGAGAACTACGAAGGAGGCCTCAAGAGTGAGGAGAAGCTACAGAGAAGGGGATGGTGCGCTGGACGCAGTTGGTCTATTAGCTTAAGAACAGGAAGAGGCCACTGGCACGAGCACAACACACAGCCTCCTTTATGAAGCCTTGAAGACATGGCAACAGTAAGAAGGAACCTCAAAAGCAACTGATAAGGAGGCGAGGCAGGGCAGGGCAGGGCAGGGCAGGGCAGGGCAGGGCAGG